TCAAAAAAAAGACTAGTTCTTGGGACTGAGATCGAGGCTGTCTGTGGCCAAATCTCACGCTTCTCCCACAGATTTCCTTGGAGGAACCGTCCTCACAGTGTCATTTTGCTCAGGGGTAGGGGAGCACAGGACTAAAATGGAACCAATTATTTGTGAAATTCTTTAACTCATAATCTGAAGTAATGGGGGAAGAGAGCCAGGCGGTAACTTGACACTGCTCTGCTGCTCTATAACTTCTTCCGATCTCTGGAGGACAAACACTTCACAAGCCTGCAGGACAAATAATTGAGTGTAAGGGTGTCCTTATTTAAGAGCAGCCAGCACAATAGACACCCATTTCCCTAACAGTTAAGCCTTTCAAAACATTAACGTCTGAAAGGTCTTGTTACTAAATTTAAACATTAATAACAAAAGGCTACGTCAGTACTTCACATTCCTTTTGCAAATTTGTTTTTACTTTTGCTCTAAAAACTTACACAGATAGTAAGACTGGTTTTACTCTTTCTTCCCAGATTCCCCAAATGGTAACATTTCACTTTCTCAACGTCCCCTCCCCCATGTTTGAGATCCAAGAGCAGACGCGATTCCCTTGTATTCTTAAATACCCTGTGCTTTCCAGAACGCGTTCTCTCTCATGGCCACTGTACTGTGATCAAAATCAGGACGTGAACCCTAGGATACCTCCACTCTCTAATCTAGGGACCTTACCCACATTGCCAGTCTTCCTAATCATGTCCTTTATTACAAAAGAAAACCCTTTTGCCCAGCTCACCATCCAGTGCAGGATCTCACAGGTGCATTTGGTCACTACTAGTTTTTGTTTGTTAGTTTGTTTCCTTTAATCTTAAACATGCTTTTGGTCTTCTGTCTTTCATGAGGGAAAATACCAGTTTCAAATGAGAGCAATTATTGCTGTTCTATTTTGCCATGTCTCTTTTTTTCTTCCCTTCCTCCCTCCCTCCTTCCTTTCCTCCCTACTTCCTTCCTTCCTTAACAAGAGTTCCCTCTCCTCCCCCTCCCCCTCTCCCATCCTTCTTTCTTCCTCCTCTCTTCCCCACCCCTCCCTCTTTTCCTCCCTCCCTTTCTCTTTCCTTCCCCCTTCCCTCCCACTTCATCCCTCCTCCCTCCTTCCTTCCGTTTTTTCTTTCCTTCCTCCCCCCTTCCTCCCTTGCTTTTTTCTTTTTTCCCCTAAGAGACAATTCTGTTACCTAGGCTCTGGGAAGGGGAGAATAGGTAGGACCCTTGCCTCTCCCACGGCTTCCCTTATAGACATCTCAGTGTCACCCCAAGACCACGCCTCTGTGGCTGAGTAGCCCACGTCCTTTGAACAGGCTCCAGGCCTACTCCAGAAATCCTCTCCTCACATCAGAGGCAGATGGCCAGGGGGATTTTTGCTGTCTGCCATCATTGTTGGCTTTCTTTTCACTTAGTAAGATAAATGACAGTCTTTTGCTGTAATATAAAATGACAGTGATGACTCATATTCTTCACATTATTATGCATTCATTTGTCTTCTAACTGGGAAAGGTCGTGCACTAAGTTTAGCCAAGTAGAGAAGAGGACAACAGAATGGTTTGCTCTACAACACCCCGCTGTGCTCTGGCCACCTGCCTTTCCCGGGAGCCCTAACCAGGCCCCCTAAACCCTCATCCACAGCTCTATGCAGCAAGGAGGGCAAGAGAAGCCCCACCAAGGCGACATTAAAAGAAGCAGAAGAAGTGAGAGGGATTTCTGAGGAGCGGTTCTCCGATTCCCCTCCCCATCCACCCACGCCCACTTTGGAGGGCACTACCCCAAAGCGCTGGCTGTGGGAGTTTAAACCCCAGATTTGTGGAAAGTGACCAATGAATGAACTTAAGTCTTTGTCTTCAACAGAAAGCTAAATAGGCTAAAGCAACTATCTACCTTTTTCTCTCCCTTAATTGTGTAGATTTTTATTTTTATTTTTATTTTTTTATTTTTTTCCTGTATTTTAGGGAAGGGTCTATAGGGTGTTCAGGGTCTCACTACTAGATCAGACTCGTGGTGATTCTCTTGTTTACAGCTTCCCAAGAGCTGAGATTACAGGGGCGCCACCATGCCCAGCCTCAGTTGCCATCTCAGCACGCCCCAGGGGCGGGGCCGGTATGGCAGCCCAGGGGATCAAACCCAGCCCCTGCGCCTGCTTGCAGGCACTTTAATCCACTGAGCTATTTGGCCTGGTCTTTATTGTGCAGATTTTTATTTTAATTAATTAATTATTTTTTTTCTTTGGCCGAAGAACCAGGATTGAACTCGGGCCCTTGTGCTTGCCAGGGAAGCGCTTATTCCACTGAGCCATCTTCTCTCCAGCTCCATTGTGCAGATTTTTAAAGTGGCAGATAACGACAAAAACATATTACATATTATTACTTGCTTGCTTGTTTGTTGTTTGTTTTTCTGCGGTACTCCGGATCCAACTCAGGACCTTGAACTTGCAAGACAGGCGCTTATGCCGCTGAGTTATCTCCCAGCCCTACATATTATTACTGGAGAACTAGTACCTAGCAATATTTGCTGCCTGGAAACGCTAGAGTATTTGTTTTTTCCCCCCATAATTTTATTGATAAACAAATAGCAATGAGACAGTTGCAAATCAAATCGGTAGGACAGTTTCAATAATTAACACACTGCATACATTCTTCCTAGTGGTTAATTGCTGTACAAGAATCATTCTATTCATTAAGAGAATGTAACTATATATCCATCAAAACCACTTTGAATAAACAGATACGATCGTCTGTATACACTTTTTTTGTTAAGTTCCGTTATCTGAATATTATAGGTGTGTAAACTTAGCAAAATATTTTTATTTATTTATTTTTTTTACTTATTTATTTGTGTGTGTGTGTGTGTGGCCAGCTCAGCCCACCAGGGGGCGAGGCTGGCTGGCATGAGGTGCTGGGGGACTGAACTGCGGTCCCTGTGCTTTAGCTTAGCTTAGCTTGTTCTAGGTAGGTGCTTTAGACCACTGAGCCATCTCACCAGCCCCTCAGCAAAATATTCTAAAAGAGTCCAGTAGCCCATAATAGTATTGGGTCTTCAGCTTGACTGGCTATGTCAGAAATTGTTGACCTGAGTCCCCCACATGCTAGAGTATTTGTTTATTTGTTTATTTATAATTTTCAAAGAATGTCAAGGTGAGGCAGAATGAAGGACTGCTGGCGGGCCGTGCTCCTTAGACAGTCCATGGGGTCAGCCAGAGACCTTAGCAGCTGCTCCCAAGCACTAGATGGAGGCTGCAGTTCTACAAGAAACTTCCCTTGGGGCTGGGGAGGTAGCTCAGAGGCATAGGCACCTACCTGGCAGGCACAAGGTCCCAGGTTCCATCCCCAACCCCAGGGGTCACATAGGCCACAGAACAGGGCATGGTGAAGCACTAGATTGCTAGAGGCTGAGACCAGCCTGGGGCTACAAAAGCGATTTCCATGGGGGCACAAGGCAAGAATCTTCTCTCAACAGCAAAGTGCTTCCAAGAGGAGGCCCAAGACCCCTAGACCAGCCTCAGGGCCACTCCACTGCACCTCAGGTAGGCAACCTGCTACTCTAACCTTTTTTCTTTGCATCTCTTCATTCAACATGAGAACATTCAACAGAGGTGAAAAAATAGAGGAAAATATTGATGGGTAACATCTGGCTGATAGATAATTGATGATGCTAATTTATTCTTAGCTCTCACATTTTATTTCTTTTTTTTTTCAAAGTTTTATTGATAAACAGATAGCAATGAGACAGTTTCAAATCAAATCGGAAGTACAGTTTCAACAAATAAT